TCTGAGGTCACGCCTGACAAGGGGGCACGAAAGGACGCATGCACATGCGCGCATAATATTGGCGCAACGTGTCATCCTGGGGACACCCCATGATGGCTGCCTGCAGAGGGGCCAATAGGGAACAAAGGCCATTGATCCCTAGATACGCTGCCACCGACTGGAGGTGGCATTTTGCTGCTAGTGACACGAGACCGTTGCCGAGACCTGCTACTGTCGAGACGAGACCGACGACAGAAGACACAGACACACAGAAGACAGAGTTGATGTACAAGCAGAAACAGTGACAGTAAACTGCCCTCTGCTATCCTGTCTGCCCACCTTTTCTAACATACGACTGGGGGAAATAACCAGTGTCGACGCAAGGGCTCACACAAAATTATAACATGAGCACTTTATCGAACCGAAGCACATCAGTGTCTCACTGCTTGTCATTCAATTAGGAACAGGGGGCGCACACCGATTGTCAGGCTGTGTGAATGAAGGCAGAAACAGTCCGAAACGGACTGTATAAATCTACCTGCATTTTCGGTCGTTCCTCCTCTGTCTGGGCATGGTAGGACAGGAAAAATGCAAATATACAAGAAAAGAACACCAGGTTTACCTCATCCTTGGGTGCCGTTGGTTTGGGTGGAGCACGCCACGTGTACAAATTCCGTCTGATGGCCTTGGGCTGTGCCGCGGCATGCTGACTGGCTGAAAATGGGGTTTCCACGGTGAGAGTATTGAGTCCGCCCTTGTTCAGACGACTGCCTAGGACGTAGACACGGAAGCCGGAGCTGGGATCAGGCTTCATCAGTTCCGAGCGGTTGGCCAGCCCATTGAAATTTACCTCAGTCAGTGTGGGTAGAGACCCATCCCGGGGTGGAGTTAGGGCTCCATCCTGGCAAAATGAAAAGGGGGGGGGCAGGGTTATAGGAAAGTCCAAAACCATTACAAAAGTGCCTTTTTAAGCTGTTCTACGGTGCCGAACAGCCTACACGATGAAGAACACATCTTGTGTGATATGTTACAGCACATCCCCCAAAAAGAACAGGCAAGTTATACTCAAATTGTAGCTGAGAAGACCATAGTCTTTTCAATTTGCGCCGCCATTTCTTCTTCTCTCTTTTCGCGTGTAAATTTTCTTATAGACACATCGGTTGGCCTACTTCGGCTATTATAAAACGACTTTTTTTTATCCCTCTTTGTTTATTTGAAGTACAATGAGGTCATCAGTGCACAAGGTCACAACCCTAGCGCTATTTTGAAAGCAGTCCATTTTGGCCTATATTTGACGACTTTTCCTAGGACATTCATCCATGATGTCCAAAATTTCAGTCATTTTCGATTATGGATTACTTTTGATATCCCGATGTTGTGCGTTTGTGCGCCTAATTTGATTCTTTTAGAATGAAGGACGCTTTTTGCTGAAAATGCTGGAATTATATTTTCAAAATAAAGCGTCTCTCTGTCTCTAGTCACTCCGGGTCAGACCCTAACTAAACGTTTGAGTGCATATTGTAATTTCACTACGTACTGCTGGGAGGTAGCACTTATGTGCATTCAAAGGATTGGCGACAGCAAAAAAAGGGATAAAAGGTCCAACTGAAAAAAATCAGCCCCTACGGACAAGCTAAGGGATGATTATAGGCTGTTGAAAGTCTGGAGGAGGACTGAGTTATCCCGCAGGGTGTGTACCTCCCAAATCACGACTGTTGGCGCTTACCTGTAGGTTAGGTGCGCATGAAATGTATTGTAGGAACGAAAAAAGCTGTAAGTCGGTGCGAGGCAGGCAATTTCAAGGCCGACCTGCCTCTTTCTCTCGTGGAGCCAAACGTACCACCAGAGACGCTACCAGGTGCAGTGGTCGGCGTGGCTAGAGCAGCCATGACACGCACCTACGCCGACCCGCTGAGGATTTTGGCATCTGTAGACATCCCGATTAATAACGGAGTGTATTTTCATACACACACATACTACGTCAAGGCAAGAAAGTGCAAGGCAAGCAAGTCCCTATTACAAAAAGGCTGCGAGGTATTTATTCAGTCCGCTCCACGAGCAGGCGTGAGCAACAGGGAACCAATCGGCTATGACGAAAAATCGATAGCCACGGCGCGGGTTCTTATAACAGCAGCGTGGAATTACATTCGGGGGCCTTTCTGTAAAAAGCATGCAGCCACAAATGCCGCACGTTTTCTACACAATAAGCCCATTGTCAGCTGTTCAGCAGCCATGACTCCGTTGCACGCCTAGTTGGATAGTGACTGGAAGAGGAAATTGTGCGGTAGATGCTGTCCAAATCAATCGACCAGGAGGAGAAATGTATTCACACCGAACACGTCAAGGCAGGAAGTGCAAGTCAAGCAAGTAAAATCACTCTTACAAAAGGGCTTCGAGGTATTTATTCAGTCCGCTCCATGAGCAGGCGTGAGCAACAGGGAACCAATCGGCTATGACGAAAAATCGATAGC